GCTAGCAATACATTCTTTAAAACAAAGCCTTAACACAGTGTCTCTTGGAGACACCCAAGATCAAAGCATTGGCACCAGCTCGACTTGATTCTTACCAGGTGCTCCAACCTTCCCAGTGTTACAATCACACGCAGCTATCAGGGAGCTGATTGCGATACAGATCACTCCTTGGTGTGCAGCAAAATAAAACTGAAAATAAAGAGAATGCATCATTCAAGGAAGGAAGACCACGTATTGATACTAGCAAGACCCGCAATCAGGGCAAAGTAGAGGATTTTGCACAAGCACTAAAGGAGACTCTCCCAGGCCCGGCTGAAGCAAATGCATCTGAACGTTGGGTATATTTCAAGAACGCTGTTTATAACACCGCTTTGTCAATATTTGGTAAAGAGACCAGAAAGACAGCAGATTGGTTTGAAGCCCATTCGGAGAACCTGACGCCAGCCATCGAGGAAACAATGAGAGCTTTAATTGCATATAAAGCCTGTTCCAGCGAGCGCAACCTATGGGTTTTGCGAGCTGCGCATAGCAAAGTCCAACAGACCACCAGGAGATGTGCTAACAATTATTGGCTGCAGCTTTGCTCTCGGATCCAGATAGCAGCTGACACAGGCAACATCAAGGGGATGTATGATGGCATTAAGCAGGTCTTAGGTCCAATACAGAAGAAATCTGCCCCTCTGAAGTCTGCCACAGGCGAGGTTATCTGGGACCGAGCACAGCAGATGACATGTTGGGTGCAGCACTACTCTGAGTTATATTCCAGAAAAAATGAGGTAACTGAAGAAGCATTAAATAATATTGAGTGCCTGCCTGTCTTGGAGGAGCTCGACAGCAAACCAACTCTAGAAGAATTAAATGTGGCTCTGGACTCCCTTGCCTCCGGCAAGACACCTGGAAAAGATAACATCCCTGCCGAAATCCGAAGTGCTGCAAAGAGAGCATCATCCCCACTGAATTGCACGAAATTTTCTGCCTTTATTGGAGGGAAGGTGGAGTACCACAGGACATGAAGGATGCAAATATCATCACACTGTATAAGAACAAAGGCGACAGGGGTGATTGTAACAACTATCGCGGCATCTCTCTTCTTAGTGTTGTAGGGAAGCTGCTTGGCCGTGTCGTACTGAAGAGGCTCCAGGTGCTTGTAGAGAGAGTCTATCCAGAATCACAGTGTGGATTCCGAGCCAACAGATCCACCATTGACATGATATTTTCCCTTAGATAGTTGCAGGAAAAATGCAGGGAACAAAGACAGCCACTTTTCGTAGCCTTCATAGATCTTACGAAGGCTTTGGACTTGGGTTAGCAGGGACGGCTTATATAAAATTCTCTTCACGATTGGATGTCCACCTCAGCTCCTCAACATCATCAGGTCCTTTCATAGGATATGAAGGGCACTGTTGTTTTTGATGGCCTAACATCAGATTCCTTTGACATTCGAAGTAGAGTGAAGCATGGCTACGTCTTCGCACCAACTTTATTTGGGATCTTTTTTGCTGTCATGCTGAAACACGCTTTTGGAACTGCAACAGAGGGTATCTATCTCCGGACCAGATCAGATGGAAAACTGTTTAATCTCTCTAGATTGAGAGCAAAGTCTAAAGTCCAGCTGAAATGCCTACGGGATTTCCTCTTCGCTGACAACACTGCCGTTACTACTCACTCTGCCGAACATCTTCAACAACTTATGGACTGTTTTAGTAAGGCCTGCCAAGACTTTGGTCTAACAATCAGCCTGAAAAAGACAAAAGTCATGGGTCAGGATGTGGATCCACCTCCCTGTATTACAGTCTCTACACAGGAACTGGAGGTTGTCCATGACTTTGTGTACCTTGGCTCAACTGTTTCAGACACTCTCTCTTTAGATACTGAGCTGAATAAATGTATTGGTAAAGCGGCCACCACATTTTCCAGACTTATAAAGAGAGTATGGCTTAATAAGAAGTTGACAGAACATACAAAAATCCAGGTCTATAGAGCCTGCGTCTTGAGCACACTCTTGTACTGCAGTGAGTCTTGGACTCTTCACTCATGACAGGAGAGAAAGCTGAACACTTTTCACATGCGCTGTCTCTGATGTATTCTCGGCATCACCTGGCAGGACAAAGTCCCAAATAGCGCAGTCCTGGAATGTGCTGGAATTTCTAGCATGTATACATTATTGAAACCGCAACGTCTACGCTGGCTTGGGCATGTCGTGAGAATGGCTGGGTCGGATTCCTAAAGATCTCCTGTATGAAGAACTAGTGCAGGGAAAGCGCCCCAGAGGGAGACCTGAGCTGCGATATAAGGGTATCTGCAAGAGGGATCTGAAGGCCTTGGGAATGGACAGCTGGGAATCCTTGACCTCTGATCGTTCAGCCTGGAGGCTAAAGACGCAGCATGGTCTTCTCCAATTTGAAGAGACACTTGTGTGGCAGGCTGAGGCAAAGAGACAGTCTTGGAACCAACGAAACCTGGGGGCTGGACAGGGGACAGATTGTATCTGCCCTCAATGTAGAAGGGACTGCCATTCTCGAATTGGCCTTTTTAGCCACACCAGATGCTACCTTAGGACCTCTTTCCAGAGCACGATACCATAGTCTCTCGAGACTGAAGGATGCCAATGGAATGAAATGCTGTAGATATAGTATATTCAGATTTCAGCAAGACATTAGACAAACCTACTTCTTAGTAAGCTGGAAAATATGGGATAAATAGCATCACCACCAGATGGATTTGTAACTGGCTGAGAAACTGTACTTAACGAGTAGTTAATGGTACTATATCTACATGGAGGGGAGTAAGCAGTGGAATCCCACAAAGTTCTGTCTTAGGCCCAGTACTCTTCAATATCTTCATAAATGACTTAGATGAAGGAATAGAAGGAGAACTCATCAAATTTGCAGATGACACTAAGCTAGCAGGAATAGCCAAAATATCCTAGAAGACAAGCTCAGGATCCAAAAAGATCTTGACAGACTTGAGCAATGGGCCCTATCCAACAAAATAAAATTTAATATGGAGAAAAGCAAGGTTTTAGACTTAGGCAGGAAAAAACAAAGGTAGAAGTACAGATTAGGCGAAACCTGGCTCAAAAACAGTAACTATGAGAGAGGTACCTTGGAGTCCTAGTGGACAATCACTTAAATATGAGTCAGCAGTGTGCGGCGACAGCCAAAAAAGCTAATACAACCTTTGGTTGTATAAAGAGAGGCATAGAATCAAAATCACGTGAAGTATTAGCACCACTTTAGGCCACACCTGGAATACTGCATCCAGTTTTGGTCACCACATTACAAAAAACATGTTGAGACTTTGGAAAAAGTGCAATGAAGAGCAACTAAGAGGATTAAAGCCTTGGAGACTAAAACTTATGAAGAACAGTTGCAGGGTTTGGGTTTGGTTAGTCTAGAGAAAAGAAGGACTAGGGGGACATGATAACAGTATTCCAGTATTTGAGAGATTGCCATAAAGAGGAGTGGGGTCAACTTATTTTTCAAAGCACCAGAGGGCAGGACAAGAAACAATGGATGGAAACTAATTAAGGAGAGAAGCAACCAGGAATTAAGGAGAAACTTCCTAAGAGTGATTAACTAGTGGAACACCTTGCCTTCATAAGTTGTAGATGCTTCATCACTGGAGGTTTTTAAGAAGAGACTGGAAGTTAATTGTCTGAAATGTCTATAAGGTCTCATGCTTGAGCAGGGGGTTGGACAGAAGACCTCCAAGGTTCCTTCCAGCTCTATTCTGATTGATTGATACAAACTACAAAATCCTGGCTGGGTACAGACTAAACAGTATATGTATGGTATATGTATGTTTTCATTCTAAATTACTGCTGGTAAAGTAAATGCAACTTATTTTCTTCACTACAAATGGCTGTATTGAAAAATCTGTTCTAATGAGCAAAACAGGATTTCTTTTTGAGTAAACTTCTGCATATATGGCTGAACTTTAGGCTGGTATCAGAGAATAAGGAAGATTTATGGAGCACAATCACATTTGTAAAATTCTGTTTACTATAGCTGTTACTAATAAAGTCAGTTTTAACCTGGTAGGTTGAATCTCTAGCCTGGTCTATCTGGCGAAGGCTGACATAACAATATCCATCAGATTGTGTCTGGTGAAATAGCTATTAGTTATAATGGTTAGCTCCAATATAGGTAGTCCTTCACTTAACCATTTGTTTAATGACTGTTCGAAGTATTTGGCACTAAAAAAATAGCTTGCAACTATGCTTCACACTTATCACTATTGCAGCATCCCCATGGTCATATGATCAACATTTGGGTGCTTTGCAATTGACATTTATTTATATCAGTTGCAGACTTCTGAGGTCATGTTATCACAATTTGTGATTTTCCCAGCTGATTTCCAAAAAGCAAAGTAAATGAGGAAAGCTAAATTCACTTAACAACTGTGTGATTCACTTAACAACTGCAGCAAAAAATGTCTTATTTAGCAATGGAAATTCTGGTCCCAACTGTTGTCATAAATTTAGGATTATCTATACACAATTTATTGAATAAGCAGTTACAAACAATTAGCATCATCATTAGTAGAATGTAGTAACATGTGGGAAATATTATGGACTTGACATATATCTATACCTATATCCAAGGACTGTGTTGAGTTTTATTGGCTAGTAATGATGCCAGTAAATGAATTTATGCCTGACAGAAAAGCTTCTTTACTAAAAAGAACCACAAGTATAAGTATATTATCTGGAATAGTTGTAGGGACACAGCAATAGCAGAAATAAAACACAGGAATAAAATGAAAAAGGCAAGGGACTATATTATATTTTCACAGGAGAGTTATCACCGAGCATTGAACAACCTTCAAAATGAAAAAAGATTGTTTTTACTGAAGGTAACCCTAAAATGGGATACATTAATTTTTCACACACTTCTCAAGACAAAGGGAAAAGTTATACGTTTCCCTTTTTAATAATCTTTTTAGTAGTATATTTCAGTCATATATTAATAGTTCAAATGTTCATTATTGACTCCAACCTTTTAGCCATGTATCTGCTGCATTAAGCATCACATCGCGCCGTTTTTTGTAAAAATCCACCACACTAGCAAAAGATGAGAAAAAGAAAAGAGAAAAGCATAATGATGAAGAAACTCTTCCAAATTAACAGTTTTGATGCTCAAAACAAGGAAGGGGAGTCCAACCATGGGAATTTGAAGACTCCACATGACTGGGTGAGAAATTCTGAGAGTTGAAGGCCACAGATAGTCAACTCCCTGGTTTAGAGAAGACTTTATGAACTTTATAGAAGTAGCAATTGGTTATAAAGACTTCTGTGCCCTAAATGACAGTTTGTAGCTATTCTTCAAAATTAAGACATTTTTTTTAATTACTGCAAGCAATTTTTAAATAAAAATCTGCCAGGAGGAATACTGTATATATAATCACTATGCAAAGAACATAACTGTTTTGTGTATATCTTTTTGATGCATCCAAACTATATTGAATTGGATGCATTTGGATGCATCACTCCTAATAATACACAGATTTTTTTTGTTGTTTAATGATTCTGAAATCATTAAAGAACAAAAAAAATCTGTTTATCATTATTAGGATCATTTATTGTTCAGATGACAATGATATAAATGTGAATGTAAAGTATTGGATTTCAATTTTCACTGACTGTAGCACAAACTTGAATACATCGCTATCTCTTAGCTCTTTTCTAGCACAAAACGATATTTATAGATTGTTTCCTGATGGAAACAAATAATGTCCAAATAATGAGGATTATGGTATTCCTATATAAAACAACATATGGAAGCTACAACTAAAAACTGTGACCCAAAAAGGAAAACAATATGGGATAGGAGGAAAAAAACCCTCCAAATCAAATAAAAGCTTAATTTACAGTTCTACGGTGTTTCCCCGAAAATAAGACCTGCTCTTATATTTTTTTTTGTCTTCAGACACTAGATAGACACTAGATCTTATTTTGAGGGGATGTCTTACCCGCTTACCGCAGCCAGTCCCGACACTTGTCATGCCGCTGCCCGACTTCTGCAGCCGCTCACAGCCATTTGTAGGACCCCACGTGGCGTGTTGTGCCAGTGCCACCACTCGTGGCAGGACGCCGCATGGCACATTGTGCAGGTGCTGCTGCTCATGACATCATGCCAGTGCCGCCACTCACAGGATGCAACGTGGCGCATTGTGTCGGTGCCGCCACTCATGGCGTGTTGCGCCAGTGCTGCCACTTGCTGCAGGATGCCATGTGGTGTGTCACGCTGGTGCTGCCGGTCATGGTTAGGAGGCCACATGACACATCACACCAGTGTTGCTGGTCGTGGCAGGATGCCATGTGGTGTATTGTGGCATGCGCGAGCAACAGCACTGGTACAATGTGCCATGTAGCATCCTGACATAACTGGCAGCACTGGCAAGACGTGCCACACGGCCTCCTGCTGCGAGTGGCTGCCAGCAACCAGAAGAAGTGGATGGAGCTGCTGCTGCTCGTGCCGCTGCCACAAGGCGAGGCAAGTGTTGGGGCATGGGAGGCCTGGCTGTGGGGACCCTGAGGTAAGTGGATGCAGGATGCATGCAGCACCCCCGCTCTAGCTTGATTTTTATGTTTGTGCCTCACCCCACCTCGTACAACCAGATGGTGGGACAGAGTGGGTGGGGATATTAACTTGGGCTTATTTTTGAGGTAGGGCTTATATTTGGAGCACACGTAAAAATCAAGCTAGGTCTTATTTTCGAGATAGGTCTTATTTTCAGGGAAACATGGTAATAACCATTATCAATGGAAATATTTTGATAGCAGGAATTTAAACAGAGTTGGTCTCTGAGCAGAGTTCATGAGACAGTATTCCTTTTTTTCATCTGCTCCTTTCAAATGTACAGGACAGATTTCAATTGATGTCAGTGTGCTGATTATACATTTTAGCCAATTTCTTGTGAGGTTATCCATTTGATATAAACTATCCAGAGCTACCAATTTTGCTTGCAATTTTCCCAGTTTCCCCAATTTGTAATGTATTTATTTCTACAATTTCCAAAAGCCAACATATAAAATTCAGAGTCCTGCAAAACATGTACAATAATTTCTGATACTGTTAGAAATAGAAATTCCATTGTAAATATTTTTAAATTATTTAATTTCTATTTAATTTAACCATGTTTAAAAGGATGCAAGTACACTTGCTGCAATTCCAAGATGCTTTAGATTACAATGTCCAGAATTCTTTGCAAGTATTTCAATGGGTAGCTCTCAGGCAATTAAATCTGAATTCTGTACATTCAAATGAATGGACTAGCACAATAAATTGCATATATTATTGTGGCCATTATATAAATATGTCTTTATGTACAGTATGTGTGTGTGTGTATATATAGAATTATTTGTGAGTAATATTAAAACAACATATGTTTAAAATATATACAAGAGAATATAATATTTAAAAACATACAATATATCAAAAATGAAATATGCTAAATATATTTACCTCTCTACATGGTCTAGGAAACCCTTCTGTCCCCATTGTTGAAGAAGCTGGGCTATCATAATCTATAGGAATAGTAGGTCTACAGTCAGTATGTTATTTGCTCATCAACAGACACTAGTAAAAAATCTAAAATGGCCTTAATAGAAGGGGGGGAAAGGCCAAAGTAATACAATCCTATGAATAGGATTATTCTCAATAAGCTATACAGTTGCAAGAAAAAGTATGTGAACCCCTTGGGATAACGCGGAGTTTTGCATGAATTGGTCATAAAATGTGCTCTTAACGTCATCTAAGTCACAACAATAGAAAAACACAGTCTGCTGAAAATAATAATACACAAACATTACATGTTGCCATGGTTTAATTGAACATAACATGTAAACATTCAGAGCAGGGAGGAAAAAGTATGTGAGCCCCTAGCCTAATGACGTCTCCAAGAGCTAATTGGAGCCAGGAGGGAGCCAGCCTTGACTCCAATCAGTGTGATGATATTGGATGTGTTGCTGACAACTGTCCTGCCCGTTAAAAACACACACCTGTTATGGGTTTACTGGTTTCAAGAAGCACTGTCTGATGTGAACCATGCCTTGCAGAAAAGAGCTCTCAGAAGACTTACGATCAAGAATTGTTGACTTGCATGAAGCTGGAAAGGGTTACAAAAGTATCTCCAAACGCCTTGATGTTCATGTGTCCACGGTAAGACAGACTGTCTACAAATGGAGAAAGTTTAGCACTGTTGCTACTCTCCCTAGGCGTGGTCGTCCTGTAAAAATGACTGCAAGAGCACAACGCAGAATGCTTCTTGAGGTAAAGAAGAATCCTAGAGTGTCAGCTAAAGACCTACAGAAATCTCTGGCACATGCTAACATTTTTGTTGACACATCTACAATAAGGAAAACATTAAACAAGAATGGAGTACATGGGAGGACACCACGGAGGAAGCCATTGCTGTCCCCAAAAAATATTGCAGCACGTTTGAAGTTTGCAAAAGAGCACCTGGATGTTCCACAGCACTACTGGCAAAATATACTGTGGACAGATGAAACCAAAATTGAGTTGTTTGGGAAAAACACACAACACTATGTGTGGAGAAAAAAAGGCACAGCACACAAACATCAAAACCTCATCCCCACTGTAAAACATGGTGGAGGGAGCATCATGGTTTGGGGCTGCTTTGCTGCCTCAGGGCCTGGACGGATTGTTGTCATTGATGGGAAAATGAATTCCAGAGTTTATCAAGACATTTTGCAGGAAAACGTATGACCATCTGTCCGCCAACTGAAGCTCCGCAGAGGATGGGTGATGCAACAGGACAATGACCCAAAGCATACAAGTAATTCAACAAANTCCTCCCTGCTCTGTGAATGTTTACATGTTATGTTCAATTAAACCATGGCAACATGTAATGTTTGTGTATTATTATTTTCAGCAGACTGTGTTTTTCTATTGTTGTGACTTAGATGACGTTCAGAGCACATTTTATGACCAATTCATGCAAAACTCCGCGTTATCCCAAGGGGTTCACATACTTTTTCTTGCAACTGTAAAGAGTGACACAGTTTGGTGTTACGATTAAGGTACCATACTAGAAACTATACTGCTCACAAAAATAAAGGGAACGCAAACCCCTTCAGTTCCATGGTAAAATGTTCCCTTTATTTTTTTGAGCAGTATATTAGGTGGGGAGTTCTAGTCCAGCCTCATGCAAAAAGCCAGCAGGGTGACTCTTGGCAAGTCCCTCTTTTCAGTCATAGGAAGAAGACAATGGCAAACCCCTTCCAAAAATGTTACCTAGAAAACTGCAGGGCCTTGTTCAGGTAATTGCTAGGAGTCAAGACTGACTCAAAGAATTTAAAAAATCTATGCACAACTACAGCCTTGTAAGATTTATTTGAAGCTGTAAAATCATTTTTATAAATACAGTGAGGGAAAAAATTATTTGATCCCCTGCTGATTTTGTACGTTTGCCCACTGACAAAGAAATGATCAGTCTATAATTTTAACGGTAGGTTTATTTTAACAGTGAGAGACAGAACAACAACAACAAAATTCCAGAAAAATGCATTTCAAAAAAGTTTTACATTGATTTGCATTTTAATGAGTGAAATAAGTATTTGATCCCCTATCAATAAGCAAGATTTCTGGCTCCCAGGTATCTTTTATACAGGTAACGAGCAGAGATTAGGAGCACTCTCTTAAAGGGAATTCTCCTAATCTCAGCTTGTTACCTGTAATAAAAGACACCTGTCCACAGAAGCAATCAATCAATCAGATTCCAAACTCTCCACCATGGCCAAGACCAAAGAGCTGTCCAATATTATAGACCTACACAAGGCTGGAATGGGCTACAAGACTATCGCCAAGCAGCTTGGTGAGAAGATGACAACAATTGGTGCGATTATTCGCAAATGGAAGAAACATAAAATAACTGTCAATCTCCCTCATGTCAACGCTGTTAACATTGGATGTTCTTGCTTTGACAATATATGAAGATGCAGCCTTTTTCTTTCTTATGTTTTACTCTTAGAATTAGATGACGCTGGGGAAGGAGGCGGAATGTGCTGGGAGTTAGTTAGACATAACAATATTGTACTAGTGTGTGAAATAAGAGATGATAAGAATTGGCCGGGTAGCAAAAAGGAGGGAAAGCCTGCATTTCAAACTAATTGGACAATGTGATTTATGAGTGTTAATTGAAGGAGGGAATTGTGCCTTGATACTATGTGTTCAGGGGAGGGGAATCCAGGTTTTGGCTTCAACTATGTTAGTGCCGAAGCTATGCTACTCCCCCATAAAGATTCTTTAAGGTAAACAATGCCTCGAAGTTCTTTGAAGAGTTTCATCTGTTGGAACCATGACACCCCGGTCTGGGGCTCCAAGCAAGATCTCACCTCGTGGAGTTTCAATGATCAGCCCAGAATTACATGGGAGGATCTTGTCAATGATGTCAAGGCAGCTGGGACCATAGTCACCAAGAAAACAATTGGTAACACACTATGCCGTGAAAAACTGAAATCCTGCAGCACCCGCAAGGCCCCCCTGCTCAAGAAAGCACATGTACAGGCCCGTCTGAAGTTTGCCAATGAACATCTGAATGATTCAAAGGAGAACTGGGTGAAAATGTTGTGGTCAGATGAGACCAAAATTGAGCTCTTTGGCATCAACTCAACTCGCCGTGTTTGGAGGAGGAATGCTGCCTATGACCCCCAAGAACACCATCTACACCGTCAAATATGGAGGTGGAAACATTATGCTTTGGGGTAGTTTTTCTGCTAAGGGACAAGACAACTTCACTGCATCAAAGGAACGATGGACGGGACCATGTACCGTCAAATCTTGGGTGAGAACCTCCTTCCCTCAGTCAGGGCATTGAAAATGGGTCGTGGATGGGTATTCCAGCATGGCAATGACCCAGAACATATGGCCAAAGCAACAAAGGAGTGGCTCAAGAAGAAGCACATTAAGGTGGCCTAGCCAGTCTCCAGACCTTAATCCCATAGAAAATCTGTGGAGGAAGCTGAAGGTTCGAGCTGCCAAATGTCAGCCTCAAAACCTCAATGACTTGGAGAGGATCTGCAAAGAGGAGTGGGACAAAATCCCTCCTGAGATGTGTGCAAGCCTGGTTGACAACTACAAACAACATCTGTGATTGCCAACAAAGGTTTTGCCACCAAGTACTAAGTCATGTTTTGCAAAGGGGTCAAATACTTCTTTCACTCATTAAAATGCAAATCAATTTATAACTTTTTTGAAATGCGTTTTTCTGGATTTTTGTTGTTGTTATTCTGTCTCTGTTAAAATAAACCTACCATTAAACTTATAGACTGATCATTTCTTTGTCAATGCACAAATGTACAAAATCAACAGGGGACCAAATAATCTTTGCCCTCACTGTAGATATGCCAGGAACCAATACTATTAATAGTATTAGTTGTTTGGCTTGTTCATAACCTTATTAATAACAGCTACAGAAGTGGAACAGAGAAAGGGCTCGCTGTAGAGTTTTCAAATGCTCACAACTGTAAACAAGTTATAAAGTATTTTTAAGAGCTATTAAATAAAATCAATGAGAGAATATTTTCTTTTTAAAATGGCCTAACTTTTCATCCTGTTGGTACTTTTTTCTATAGGAAAAATATTAATTTTTATTAAAATTATGCCAATCATACATATTATATAGGATTAAGGAATTATAAATAATGAAAAGCTTTTCTTCAGTGCATTCAGTTTTAGACGATTCTGTAAATACATGGATGTTATACTGGTGTTTGTGTCTAAAAGTTAAGAGCATATCTTTATATATATCATGATAATTCTTACCTGGGTGAAGGTACTGGTGTGCATTGTAGAAACCTGTATATGTAGAATAACTCTATCAATTAATGGCTTAGGACCAGTTAGAAATCCAATTCTTAGCCTGTGCAAAAATAAAAATATACTTAAAATACTTCCTTACATACACATAAAATGCCATGTCCGAAATTGTGGAAGACAATATATATCCTAATATTCATATTCATTTTGAGGCAACAAAAGCAAATTATGAAAGTATCAGGAAGAGAAAAACAAACTAATTTTATAAAAGTTAATTAAATAGGAATCAGATAACTAATGATGGAACTGGACAACTAAGACAAAGAAAATATCTTATACTGTTTCAGGAAAAAGATTACTGTCATGAAAATTGGAAGGACAGAAGATGTATACATGGAACAGCATTTGTCTGTGAAACCTTATAATTCAATTTCAAAAAAGACTACAATCAAAGTCTTTGTTCGAATTAAATTTATACCAGTAACTTTAGGGATTTTCAAATGTGTGCTTGGCCAGACCCATGTAATTGAATGTCCAGCTATTGTGCAGTTGAATTTACCCAGATGAGAGGATCTTAGAAAAGGAGTCAGTCCTGATAACTCGCCCATCAATGTCCATTGAAAGAAAGGTTGGTGCCCAAGGCTTCAGGAAAGAAAGTAAAGGTTTGCTGTTAGTAACTAATACTTGCACAAGGTGGCTCACAACATGTGGAAAAGTTTTTTTTTAAAAAAAGATGTACATGCATTATGAAACCTATTCATGCATCAAAACTGGGCTGCATCCAACATTTCCATTCAGGTAGCACGATTTCCCATTATACTCCCCACCCATCTCAATATCTGCCCCAAATCTACTCTGAAAAGTTCATCAATTATTTAAAGTATAACTACCTATGTACAAGAAGTGGAATATTTGGCAAAGGAGAATCACCATTATAAATGATGCCTCTTGACAGTAATACATTATCAAGATACAGAAAGTCTAAATAGAATGTTTTGGTTTAGTGTTTTTTCTTAAATTGAAATGTGTGTGGATGAAATCACAGATATGTTCTCATATTTTTAATAACTAATAAAAACTGATATTGCTCGGCATATAAGCCTATAACCATAATGATACTTTCTTATGGATATTGTTGAGGCTTTGAATGCATACGTACCAGAGGTCTATGGTATACTTTCTGTAGCTTTGAAAACAGCATCATAATTAATGGAAAAAATATTCTACTGACTGTGGAAACAGTAGTGATAAATCATAACACAATTTATATAGAAATATCCAAAGAATACAAATCCATGCATTCTTTGCTGTAGCTTCTAGTTCACAAATAATTAACAAAACTCACCTTGTTAAATTGAAGGAAATAATATGGATCATCTTCTATTATAAGGAAATCATATTGTCTTGCAAGCTGAAAGAAATATATACACTCATATTCATACATGCAAACAAAATAATAAAAACAATTGTTTCATAATCATATATTATTGTTACCAAATGAGCTGTTTTCTATTGTTAAAACATTCAGTTATTATCAGTTGGGGGAATTCTGAAGTCTGTTTCAATTTCCTTGCTGGGATCAACATGGCTCCCAAAACCTCAATCAAGGAATACAATGGGAATCCCACAGAGATACACACTAATGGCAAAGCACATTATTGTACAAATTAGAAAACAAATCCAAATCGAAATATAATTTAAGAACAATTCAACCTAACTAACTTTGAAAAGGATAATTGTATAAAAATTAGAAAAAAGGAAGTAAATTCAAATAAACAGTAGGAAATATTCTTGAACAATAGAAATAATACGGTCTGATTTATGGCAGAATTGATGCTGTGGGGTTTTTGATGACTCTCCAGATGACTCTTATCCCTAACTCAAATCCCTGATTATCCTAACAATTGTGACCGATTGGAACAAGTTCTAGAAGAACAGATTTCCCAAGACTGATTTAAAAAGTATTCTCATACACAGCTTCAACCTTTGAAATCAGATATAATTGTTTCATTGAAAAAAAAACCCTAATCTACACAAACCGAAGAAAACATATGCATGTTAATTTTCCCCAGAAAAATTAATATAGATCTGGATATGTAAGAACTAGAAATATTTATACATCCCTGGGCCCAAAAGGCTAGTGGATCACACTGTAGGATATCATATTTCAATTACATTTTTAATTAACAAATATTTAATCCCAGGTTTTAAAAAGTATAAACTGGACAAATAAGAAATCTTATGGAATAATTTGTTCTCTCATTGAATACACAAATAAGCAAGGAAATATTATTTTGTATCTAACATATACTGACATCACAGATTGCCTTTTGAAATGTGTATCTTTCAGTTTGCATATTATTATTCTGATTTTCAGAACAAGCCTTTCCTATGTGGCTGATAATAAACAATCATTTATTTTAGACTGAAGCCTAACTGCATCTTAAATGCTATAACATTATGTATAGAGACCATTTATTGGATGGGTATACCTGATAGATCTCTTTCTTGCGTTCTGTTGTCAGTGAGGCTCCTGTTGGATTGCCACCATTAGGAATTGTGTATAGAAATTTTGGGGTATCATTCCTGAGCTTTTTTACATCTTCTGGATTCCACCTGGAAAGAACTTCTTTCAAAGCTTTTGGAATCATACCATGCTGGTCACTGGGCACATTGATGATGTTACAACCCAGCGGTCTAAGCTATTTTAATAAAAGAAGAGAACAAGCATTTATTATACATATGCATTCTATTCAGCTTTTGATAAATTAATTTCTAAAACTTGTTATAACGTACTATTCCTGCAAACTAAATAATCAGTTCTTATTTCCCACATTTCATTGGTCATCTTGTGAGAAAATATGTATTAAAATAATAATAATATTCTTAAAATATGTTAGAATAATTGCTCAGCTTTGATGCATATTTTTCATACTGCGATTTGTCTTTCTTTTCTATTGGGTTTCTAAAGGGTGGTTCACAAGATATGTAACAAGTGTAGGATATAGTGTAGGATATATAGTGTAGGATCTTGTTAGGCAAAGGTTGTATGAAATTAGTTTATTTTAGTCTTATCCAATCTGGCCTTCTTCAAATATATTGAGATTGCTGAGTAGGAATTCTGGGAACTGAAGTCTGTATTCTATGCAAGACATTGTTTATATGGAGCAGGTCAGCTTTTTGATTTTGAAAATTTCATTATACGCACACAATGATGTCTGCAGGGGCAGTTCAGAACAAGATGGAAGTTGTGGCACTGCTAGAATCTCCCTGTTTTTACTTGTTTGCAATGTCAATGTGACCTGGTCACATCATAATATCTGCTACTATAATACGTTAAATGGGTTGTCTGTTTCCTACATCAAATTGCATATTATATGATATATTTAAGCATATATTGATGATGTAATTATGTAAATTATAAAATTATCTGCACTGTAGATAATTATTAGATAATCAGGATTGGATACAGATACACATTCAAATTTGTTCCTTTGAAATGTATAGGAGAGCTCCTAGTCCAACTTTTCCTAGTCTGGTACTCTCCCAGTGTGTTCAGACTACAACTCCCAGAATTCTCAGTTAAAATGTAGCTGGTCAGAAGTAGTGGTAGAATTATGAGGGAAGGCTGTTACTATCTTCCACTTATCTCTGATCAGGTAAAACATTCCAGAAACATGAATGATTTACCTCAATAAAAGAAATGACATCTGTTTCACATATCCATCAATAAGACTGTAATTTCAATATGATTGAAGTGATTAGAGAATAATAGAATGTGTAAACAATCACAGCAAAAGTTTTAAAGAAAACTTTTTCTCTTTCTGTAGTAAGTAGTCATCCATTCATTAAGTTACAAATGATTTTTATATTTTATATGAATTTAGGTTTTATATAGCCCCTGCCTTCAGATGTATAATGAAAAACACTGCAAGAAATATTTTGTCAACATTTTCTAATTTTTGCATGCTCTTTCCTATTACTAAATGGTTTCCCAAATTACAAACCTCTTCCTAGATTTTTTTTCTTGGAAAATCATGTTATAGAACCTGAAAAACTGCAAAACTGAAGAATAATTATTCACCATTTTGAAGGTTAGTTCAAGAAATGCAAATTAATTAGTTTTTACTGGAAATATTTTCCTCCTTTCTTTCTTAGTTTAGCAAAAAATTAAGAAATGACAGCCTGGTATAAATGGGAGCAAGACCTAAATAGGTAGAAGCAAAATTAAATCTTTTTTCCATCACAATCTTCCAGATTTGTGGAATACTCACAGCAGCTATCGTCCCAGGATAAGTGGGGGCATCCAAAAGAATGTTATCTCCAGGATTAATAAGCATTTCAAACACCTAACAAAATATAAAAGGCAGTAATTTTTCCTGCTGCAGACAAATATGACCTTTGATAATAACAGAGATAAAGAGAAATGATTTTTAAATCACAAAAAATAAAAAAAATGTTTGGTGTACAGTAATACAAAACACAAGAATATGAAGCATAAAGAGGAAAGAAAACTTGTTAATTGTAGTAAATTGTTTAAAAACCAAAGCCAATTATGCACATAGCAAATTTAAAGAATTTTAAAACATTGTTCCATCACAATTCATTTTTGGTTTTGGTTCTTTAAGAATGTAAGTATATCTGGCAAATGGCTTCATAGTTTATCTATACAATTGCTTACTTCATGTTTTAAAAAGTTTATGGGATTATATGTAATAAAGTTTTACCTAAATGAAAAGAACAAGCAACGTGAGTAGCCTCTGTGAGCTTCTGCACAAGCTCTAGTGAAAAGGCACATCTTTCTAAGGGAAGATCTCAGTGAAATAAGTAGGATGAGGATGAAGGTTTGTTCTCCAAGCTTGTGGGTTGGTTTCCAAAAGTTTCGTTACCAGGCTAGGTAACATCTTCAGCAGAGTTTAGGGGATATCAGTGTTCTTCTGTTTATAAGAGCTTTGTGTGGTCAGTATATCTTGTGATGGCTACAGTGGGGTAGTAACCCCACAATTGGACAGATCAGCTGATAAAGGAATTAAAGAAACACAAGGGAAACTGCCCCCAACTTTTTTCGAGCTGACCGATACTTTAGGTTTGATTGATGTTTGGAGGTGTAAAAATGGACTAACAAAAGACTTTACTGTCAACTCTACAATGAACCTGGCTGCAGCCATCTTTGTCATTCTAGGTTCCCACAAGAAAGGGAGGGGGGACGAACTATTTCTGCTAGTCTAAACATGAGTAGATCCTGTGGGAGCCAAGGTCATTCCCACACCATAATGGAGAAGGAGGGATGTTCTGTTAGAGAGTCTGCCAAATAGTTCTATTGGAGAATGTGACTTATAGCTAAATAGGGGTGGGGTGGGAATTATTACACTGAATTATTCTGAATCCTTGGGGGGAGGATTTTAGATTTGGTTTCACATTTGAATGTGCCAACATTATGTATCCAACAAACATGTTCTTTGAGGAAATCTCGTGCCTTGGAGTTCTGATTTATTCAGTTTCATCAGTCGGAACCTTGACATTTGACAAATCCTTTTCTAGAATCAATTTGATTTGGATTACAAAAAATCTGCTTCATAAAGCAACTAAAGCCATTATTCTTTCAAAACCTTTTTCTGACCATAATCCAGTGTCTTTACATCTTAAATTTGGTCCTCAGTCTTTTAAATGGAGATTAAATGAATTTATTTTACAGAGACGACAAATTGTTAAAGAATATAAACAGGTATTTCAAGACTATTTTAATAATAATTTAGGTAAGGGAACCAATTTGACAACAGTTTGGGATGCTTGTAAGGCTGTGATATGAAGACATTTTATACAATACAATAGAACAATTAAGACGAGGATGGATGAAAAAATCTAAAATGTGTTACAAGAAATTAAATTAAAGGAGAGGAAACTCCAGAACTCACCAGAGCATTCTAACATACTTAATCAACTAAAAATATTGCAACAACAAATTTCTTTGTTGACTTTTTCAGATACTGAAAAGAAATTTAAATATATGAAACACTTTCTTTGAACATGCAAATAAACCAGGGAGATGGTTGGCATACAAACTAAGAAAACAGATAGAAAAGAAGCTTCAAGAGGGGAATAAGACTTACATGGCTAACAAAAACATTCAAAAACTTTTTTAGAATTATTATACTAATTATATAAAGAACTAGAAATCTCTTTAGATACTATGGAGGAATCTTATATCTATTTTAACTGAAAGACTTAAAAAGGTTTTACTGGAATATATACATGAAGGCCAGTGTGACCTCTTACCTAAAAGACAACTAAATGATAATGTAAGAGTAATTTTGAATATAATTAAATATTTACAACAATGTAGCGACAAACAGGTTGCATTAATTTTTCTGGATGCAGAAAAAGCTTTTGACAATTTGAACTGGGCCTTTATATTTAAAGTAGTGGAAAAGATGGATTTTGGATTGGGCTTTATACAGGGTCTGAAGTCCATCTATACACTCCAGAAAGCTTGAATCATGGTGAATGGAGACCAGTTGAAATCCAGAAGGGAATAAAATATGGGTGTCCTTTATCCCCTTTATTATTTATTCTAATGTTGGAACTGTTAAATAGAGATATTAGACAGGAAAGGGCCTACACATTAAAGTACATAATTACAAATTATGTGCATTTCCTGATGATTTGGTTTTGACTGTGCAAGACCCGTTAAAGAGCATTGAACATGTTGTGAGGAAGATTAAAATGTTTGGAGAAATGGCAGGTTTAAGAATAAATAAATCAAAGACTGACTAAGAACATAAAGATGAAAGATCAGAAGAAATTGGAATTTAAAACTGGTTTTAAAGTTGTGAAAAGGGTATAGTATTTGGGGATGACTCTCATTGAGGAAAATTCTAAGTTTTACAAAAATAATTACAGTAAAATATGGAAGGAGATAAAATTGGATTTAAATAGAAGGCAAAAATTAGATTTGTCATCAATGGGAAGAATTTCAGTAATTAAAATGAATGTACTACCTAGAATGTTATTTCTGTTTCAGACTATACTGATATTGATTAGAGATTCCACTTTCAAACAGTGGAAAGATATATCTAAATTTATTTGGCAAAGTAAAAAACCAATAATTAAATATAAGCTGTGTCAGAATGTGCATAGTCTTATTGCGTGAGATAACCCAGGAGTAAACACAGTAAACAGTGGGCTATAGTAAATGGTGGTTTATCTTACACGATCTACAATATCATACACCAGGAACAATATACATACATGAGCTAATACAGCAGGATCCAACAAATCACAGTTATAGCAGGAAACGGAAGAAGGAACACATCAGCAGAGCCTAACCTTTATACAAAGACTCTTAAAGAGACACAGACGCTGCTGAGACATTTCCATCATTACATACATTACATAAGCTGGTTAGCTGTTAAATCAATACCTTGACACTCCTCCCATTTAAAGCTAAACAGCTGTTAACCCAAATGCTTTTACATACTCATAATGCTTGCCTGCATTTAAAGGCTTAGTCAACATATCAGCTATATTGTCATCAGTGGAACAATGCTGTAACTTTATCAGTTTATCCTTTACAACCTCCCTGACACAATATTTTGTGTCTACATGTTTGCTTCTGCTTCTGATACATTCTCCCATTGCCATCTTTATACATGCCAGCAAACAATATCACAAACCCTGAGTTTGACTTTCTGTCATGCATATTATTTGCCCAGTCATTGTCTACATAGCATTGTAATGATAAGCATTCAGATGGCCTTATCCTTAGTCCTAGGTCCATTATGCCTTATACTGTTCATTATTGTGTAAAACCTTTTTATATACCCATTTACACCTCACGGCCTTTTATCCTTCTGTTAATCTCATAAGGGTAAATACCTGATGCATATTCATAGACTCCATTTCTCTGTCGATACCACCTTCCTTCCATTTATCCTGTTCTACGTTAGGCAATGATAACATCTCTTGGTAATTATGGGGTTCATACCTTACACTATATGCTCTAACCCCACTTGCTGAGAACCGATCAGGAGGTACGCCTTTATTGCTATGTTCTTTGGTATAATCTGTGTTTCTGCGACTTCTCTCTTTACTTCAGGTTTACTCTCTTGTACTCTTACTATTTCTGACATGCTATTCTGTTCCTTCATTGAGCTTGGTGTATCCTCTCCTTCCTGAGAATTAGCTCTATGTGTTGGCATGAACAGCTCAGGGTTAGCATGCACCCTGTCCCAATTGTTTTGTTCTGCAAAACTAGCAGACCTTGAAAGCACAACCTTCTTTGTTCCATCTGTGAATCTATACCCTTTGAAACCTGGCTCATATCCAACAAACCTAAGTTTCCTGGCCTTTTTCTGTCCCTTCCTTCTGGTACTTTTGGGGATATGCACCCAAGCATAACTGCCAAATGTCCTTAGGTGAGCCAATGAAGGTTTCCTTCCATATAACAGGTAATATAGAGTTTCATTGATAGCAACATTCCATACCTTGTTTACTAGATAGTTGGCTGTTTTCATGGCTTTCCCCCAGTACATTTTACTCATTCCTGTATCTGCCAGCAGTGAGTTTTTCATGGTTTGCAATACGCCATTCCTCCGTTCAGCCTCTTCATTTTCTGCTGGTGAGTACGGATTCGTACGTCTATGCTTATGCCTAGGTTTCTCAGCCACTTTTGGAAATTGTCAGACATGAACTCTGTTCCCCTGTCTGTTTGCAGCTGGCATACTTTGTGGCCACATCTTCGCTCTACACAGTTCATCCATTGTTTGAGCGGTTATAGAACTTCTGTTTTCCTCTTTAATAAATAGCAAAACCCATATCTGGTGTAGTCATCTACTAAGGCTAGTACGTACCTAGCCCCTCCTAGAGAGGGCTCCATAGGACCACTTAAATCAGTGTGCACTAACTGCAAAACTCTGTTTGTTTGCCTTGAACTTTTCTTACTTACAGAATACACTCTGGACCTGGGCTCCTTACAAATAGCGCAATCTAAATATGTGTTGCATTGCTTAATGTGTAGTCCTTCAGCTAGGTCTGGCATCCTCTACAGCACTCTAAAACTTGCATGACCTAATCTCCTGTGTAATAAATGTACGCAATTATCATGCGTGGGAGTGTTTGTAAGTGTTCGTGCACAACCATTCTGCTGCTTTCCTAATACGTATAAATTATCCAGCTTAATACATTGTGTACAAGTCCTCCCATCTTTTCTGATGGTGTATTGATCCTTTGCAAACAGTACTTCATGCCCCATATTATCCAACTTGAAATACTAAGTAAATTATGGTCTAACTTTGGTACATATAATACATTATCCAATGTTTCTCCAATATCAGGTACATAAACTTTATCT